CTCACAATAAAAGCAAGAACTACACGCTTTTTGCCAAATTTAACAGTGAAGAAATCACAGCTCCATCCTATTCACCTTGAAGACATAAATAATTGTTTGAGACTGAAAATCTCAGCTCCTGGTTATTCCACCTACTCTTAAAGATGTGTGGTGCTTTTCCCTTAGGGGCTCCTGAGCTTTAACATAACCCCTTAAAAACATTCTCCCCTACTGCTAAGCCCTAGATGACAAGAGGTAAGGATTAAAACTTATCTTCAAGTGGCACTGCAAGATAACAAAGACATCAGAAACAGGCTTTGAGACAACACAGCAAGTGACCCTATAGGGCTCCCTGCACATATATAAGAAGGTAATGTAATATACTGACGCCAACATGCAGTACAGTACTTTTAATTGTCTCACCTATACAGAAATGGAAGTGTAACATCTAACTCACTAGGTTTAGTTCTTAAGAACTTCACCAACAGATGCTTTAGAAACATCTTGTAGATCCAAGATGCTGCTATTCTGCTCATTTCACCATTGTTTCAAAATAGCTCCTAAAGTGCCATAGCTTCATACAGCAAATGATTCTAAACGCTCTAACTGCAGTAAAAAACGTTGAGCATATAAAGTAATACGCAAATGCTTTATCTCTACAGCCTGAACAATGCAGTCATCACTTGATGCAACAAATAAAGGCACCCCAGACTATAAGCTCATTTTTTGTATATGCCACATCAACTATAGCATGATGGCTAGCTCATTTTCTTCAAGACTATAGTCAACTATAAAACAGTCTATGCTATTCAAAGAGCTTTGTCATACTGATAGAGGAGAGCAATTCACATGAAACCTGCCACAAAAAGCAGAAATTTTAAGGTACAGGAATTTCCATCATTGTATCAATATTCCTTAGCACCTGACACAGTAAGTTCCTATAAAATGTATACTTACAATACTAGGTTGAAGCACTCCTCCCAAGCACCACTGATGTGAGAACTGAGGATTCATCCTTGCTCACAATAGCTGCCACCTCCAAGCATTTTACAGCTACTGTAGTTCATCCTACTACAGTGAATATAATGTGCACTCTTGCCAGCTAACAGAGGGAGGAAGGAAATGGAAATAAAGAGAAGCCATATCTAAATGTAGACAGTTTTCTTGCAAAACAGTATTAGCAAACAAAATGTCATGTTCTAATACCACTGCCAGTGTACAGAACACTACCTACTCGCTACATATTTGCCTGAATAATGCATATGCCTCATGTTCTGCCACCTCCTTATTCCAGTGGGAGACCTAAATGAATTTGTAGCTGTAGGAGCTACATAAATAACCTTTTATGCATTCACACTTGAAGATACTATGAACAACAAAAGTGGGTACCATGTGAAAGCCAAAAAAGAGCATTATCAGCTTTTGCCAATCATTCAAATCAGCCTATCTCAAGGAAGCAAGAGCATTCGTATCTTATTTGCAAATGTTTTTCCACTTCACACATACACAAACATATTCATTATGCACAAAAAACTTGCCTATATAGATGTAATTGTCATGTTAGAGTCATTCACCTGTGATGTTTTTAAGGCATCTCCTCCAATTCTCCTACTTCTACGACAACCGAGACACAAGAGAAGCTAAATACCAAGCCTCCCACATGCAATTTACATTGCTTTGTTACAATTCTTCCTGGATTTAATAATAACCTAGAATCTTAATCTTTGCAGCCACCTTTTTTACCTTTCACTACACACAAAAATCCCTTTATGTTCTGCTGCTTAAACACTCAACCGAGCAATGTGCAATCTCTTTACTGGTAAATCACACTACTAAAACATTTCTGAATATACATGTACTACAAAGCAGAGCTAATACAATTAAACGCCTTTAAAAAAAAATTAGTAAAAACCAAAAAGCAATGGAGAGAACAAGTATTCACCAGATGGTTTTATTTACCTATTTGAATATTAGTATATACATAACATTATTGTTTAAATTTCTGATTTGAGATTTCAACAGACATGAATGGATATCAGCCAATTCCTTATAGCTATCTTAGACTTGTATTTGGTTTTCTGTGACAAAATATTAATTAGAGGAACAAATGCCACAGAAACTGGAGTGCCACCATCATGTTTCAATCAACATCCTCTGTGTATCACAGCTGCATCCTAAGACATTGTCATGGTAGGTACACTAGCTTTTAAATGATGCCACCAAGCTCCCCACAAGATTATTAATGATCAAATGGTATTTTTCCCCCAAAACTGAAATATGCAGCTGAAAGCATTTTAATACAGCATGTAATCAAAGAAAATTTTCATTAAATAGTTGAGACTGTAGGAAACTTCACATGAAAATTAAATTGTTAGGGTAAAAAAAAGCATTTTTGTAAAAATCTGCATGTGAGCTCACTCAAAATTATCAAAGGAGGTAGCAGTATACAAAAACTATCACATAAAGCATGTTTGCAGATATACTTTATACTGAGCTAGACTGACCATGTGGAAGCAGGCTTGACTACCGTGTGACTAAGAACTGCCAGCAGCAGTCTCCTCTGCAGCTACTGAAATAATTTTTCAATTTCCGTAACTAATCCACATCAAGAAGCCAAAAGTGAAACCAAAAAGAAAAACCAACCAGGTTTAGTTTTCCATTTCAGAGACACATGAATAAGTTCAAAAGTAGTATTGCCTCTGAAATCTAGGGTCAAAGTAGCCATTACAGGTTGAACTGCTGGTTGGTTATGTTTTAACTTCTTTCACTTTAGAAATCTACTTTAAATTGACATCAATTAAACACTTTAACACCAAGTTATACTTAGGCAAGGAGGCTGGTTATAGAACTGTCTTTCTCTACTTTAACTGAATTAATTTGCATCCAAAATCTCGACATTTGAATAAAATAAATTGATCAGATGAATGCCATTAACTAACAAAATAGGAATAAGAAGTATGAACATGCTATGACAAAATGACCATGCATCTTGCTTATTAAATGAGTAAATCTGAAAATTAATGAACCGCCATAGTTACTAGACTAACGTAATCCAAACGTAATGTAAATAAAGAAGAAAAAAATCGAAAATCAGTACGTATGAAATGCACAGGACAGAAAAAACAGTTATATAAGAAAATTCACCTTAAACTCTACATCTGCTTATGTTGAAAAATATTCAATTCATTTTGGTGATGATTAATCTGAAACTACTGTTTTACAGAGAACTCAAAACTGCAGTTACCAAAATTACTACTGCAAATCAAGTTGCACTTCAGAAGACAGTAACAGCACTGTAAGTGTACGTTTGTTTCAGTTGCCTTATCATATTTTGCTTTTTGTTTCTTTTTCATACACATACTCCTACTACACTGCGGACTATTACAGTACCTTCTGAAAGTATGTCAAATATAACCTCAACTTCTTCTGGAAGGATGAGAAATTTGTTTCTGCTTAACAAGGGGAAAAAGCAAAACCTGTCCCACATTCAACAAGCAAAACCAATCTGTCCCCAGTATTGAAAGATACAGAATGACAAAGACCTCAAGAGAAACCAATCATCTTTGTAAAGTTTAATGTCATTCAATTTCTAGAAGATAAAGTGTACTTATAAAAGGAGAACAAGATTGTTCATAGAACTTCAGAACAGAGGTTTGCCATGACGGCAACACCTCAGCACCTTACACTAAATATGAAATAATCGTAACATTCTTACGCAGAACTGGTCACAGTATCACAGTATCACAGTATGTTAGAGATTGGAAGGGACCTCAAAAGATCATCTAGTCCAATCCCCCTGCCGGAGCAGGAACACCTAGATAAGGTTACACAGGAACGTGTCCAGGCGGGTTTTGAATGTCTCCAGAGACGGAGACTCCACAACCTCCCTGGGCAGCCTGTTCCAGTGTTCCGTCACCCTCACTGAGAAGAAGTTTCTTCTCAAGTTTAAGTGGAACCTCTTGTGTTCCAGTTTGTACCCATTTCCCCTTGTCCTATCATTGTCAGAATGTATCTAGTCTTTTCTAAAGACCCTCACAGGATCAAAAGTAATTCAATAAAAAGAATAGTAGTCTCCTGTTTTTTTATTTTTATTTTTTAAAGAAAGCATGCTACATCTTTCTCATGTTGAGCCAAAAATGAAGGCCCATCTCGTTCATATGGCTCAATGGAAGCACAGCATTGTCAAAACCAACTGCAAATGCAAGTCACAGCAGGTTTTACTTGTACCAGGTTTCTCTGACATACAAGTTTAAGAGGCCAGCCATGCAGAATCCCACTCTTTTAAGGGACCTTAAAGCCACAGGCAGGGACACCTTCCACTACACCAAGCTGCTTCAAGCCCTATCCAGCCTGGCCTTGAGCACTGCCAGGGATATGGCATCATAACCAACCAGATGTAAATGTAGATCTAGATGTAGATGAGCAACACCTAGCTATTGTAATAATTTTGTGTCTTTAATTACAGAAGAAAACACTATGGTCATGACAAGGAAACATATCACCATTACCCAAAGCAATTTAAATTTTACTTGATATGTTAAGTGCAATTGCAAGAAAGGAAAGCAGGTGAAAAACCTCTACCAGCAACGGGCACAGGACAAGAGCAAACTGGACTGGACAGGACAGACCAGGAGGTCCTGCGTGCTCGAGGATCCCCCCCGCTAAACTCACTCGTAAAAAGAAGCCAGGTTGTATTTTAAATGAGAGAGCAGAGCCTGAACTTTACAATAAAAACTAACTCATTAAGGCGATAGTTGTGTTCTTCACGCTCCGGCCGGGTCTCCCCCCGCAGGACCAGAAAGCACAGCGCTTCCCACGCACCCCCCGGGCACACGGACAACCAGCCCGCCCCCTGCGCAGCCGATAAACCGCCCCACCACCCGGCAGAACCGGTTTGGCTGAGGGCTCGATACCCTGAGGGCACCGGCAGCAGCTGCCCGTGTACGCGCCGCTTTCTCCAGCCCCGGTAGCCACCACCTCCTCACGGCGATGGGGCGGGGCGCCCGGCCAGCCTCACCTACCTCCTGCCGCGCCGCAGCAGCCGCTTCCGTCTGCGTGAAAAAGGCGCCTTCCCCCAGCGGCACGGCAGCCAACGGGAAACCAAGCTCGACCTTCCGTCTAGCCTCTCTCCAGCCGCATCTGCCAATCGCAGTCCTTTCCTTTACCATCCGCCAATCCGGCTACTGGCCCACACCGTGCCCCTGAAGGGGCGCTTCCGCCCGGCCCGGCCCCGCCTGCCGGAAGTGTGATGTGGCCGAGAGCTGGTCGCCATGGTAAGTGCAGGGCGCGGGCGGGTTGGGGGTGGCTCCGCCGGTGTGGGGTCACTGCGGGACTGGGCCGGGCCGCTTCCAGGCCCCTTCCCGACGACCCTGCCAGCCGAGCGGTGCCCCCTGGGCCTGCTGCCGCCCCACAGGCCCCGCACATCTTGTTATGGCTGTGCCTGGCTGGGTCGGGCCTTTGAGCCTTTTCAAGGCCGAGGCCTCGCCCCGCCCTGGGGCAGCGGGCCGGCGGGATCGCAGCCGTCCCAGTTACACCATAAAGCCTGGCTTAGCAATTGGCCTACAAGTATGGCAGCCCGGGTGTGTCTGCGTCCCTCTGCCTGGCCTGGGTGCTCGGTGGCGCATTAGTCCGCGCTCCGGCTTGCAGTGCGCCTCCCAGGGTGGTGTTTCTGCTTGTTCTCACACTTCGATTTAATGCGTATGTCGATGGGCATCTCGCTTCCAGAGCAGTAAGCTGAATCTTGGCAGTGACTGCTGGTCTCCTTTTATAGGAGTAATGCCAGGGGCCTAGGTCTGTCTTCTAACGGAAAGTGTTATGGTGTGCATATAAATGATGTAGAGGTTTATTAGCCATGAATGTTTTCTGTGATTTCTGCTTTCTGGGGGTTGGGTTTTGGGTGGTTTGGTTTTCGGTTTTTTTACATTCTGTGTATAAAGAGTATAAACAAGTTACCTATATTCTTATGTGACAGGAAAAGGTGGAACGGCTTTAAACTGAAAAGGGGAGATTAAGATGAGATTTTAGGCAGAAGTTCTTCCCTTTGAGGCTGGTGAGGCCCTGGCACAGGTTGCCCAGAGAAGCTGTGGCTGCCCCATCCCTGGCAGTGCTCAAGGCCAGATTGGATGGGGCTTGGAGCAACTTGGTCTAGTGGAGGGTGTCCCTGCCTGTGCCAGGGAATTGGAACTGGATGAGCTTTAAGGTTCCTTCCCAAACCAGGCTGTGATTTTGTGATTCTGTTTGCATTTGGGTTACAGCTGTGCTGTGAACTAACCTTTGGCAGCTGAGACAAAGATCTTTATGTAAGCAGTGCAGATACATGATTTTAAAATTAGAAGGAAAAACAAAGGAACAGGTAAAAGGAAAAAATGAAAACCACACTAGTTTTCTCTGTACAAGTAAAGGTACATAACCCTCACTTTAACACAGAATTGTTTTGAGTATTTTCGTAATTTTTCTTAGAATCTTTTCTTAGAATGGTGTGGATTGGAAGGGACCCTTCAGTATCTCCTAGTATGATACCATCTGCTACAGGCAGGGACACCTTCCAGTAGACGAGGTTCATCCAACCCCTGTCCGCCCTGGCCTTGACAGGTTATCCGTCACCAGTGATATATACTTTGTAGCTTCCACTGAATGTTTTTGTAGTTCCCATGTATTTATTAAAAGATCAATATCTCTTGGACTTTCTGATGGTTTAGATCAAAAAAGTTCTTAGGCTCCAGATCTTGTCAGCAGCAGGAAATTGCTGGAAGTTGCTCACCTGAGCATTCCTTGGCATATCTTTTAGATGAACCTGTTCTAATCTGTGGCTTCAAGCAGTGAACAAAGGGGTTTTATGCTAAGAGGCATAAATTATCTCAGAAGATCTAAACATACAGAGAGCAAGTGAGATAGAAGGGAAGTGAATACCTCACCTCTAATCAGTGCCTTGAAAAGGTAGATACCATAGAAGTAGAGCATCACCTTGCTATTTTCTGTAGTACTTAAAAACGATTTGAGATTGTAGAAAAAAGACAAGATAACCTTGATAATCAGCAGGTGAGACAATTGTGTTGCTAGTTTAGAACTTAAATATAATATTTATACCTAACAAAAATATTATTGCAAGTGTACAAGGTCTTGCAGGCATTTTTTTACTTGTCCATCTTGCTTGTTGGAGGTTACTCAGTATACTTAAAGGAACCAGAGAAAATATAGAATCTTTCAGTGAGATTTTTCCTGTGATTTTATGTCAGCATAGGTTAGAGTAAGATTCCTCAGTTTTGTGTTTGAATTTGCTCAGGGAAAACAATATTCACTGCAGCATATTCAGGACTTTGGATTTTCCAGGAATCTACCTTGGTGCCATGGCTGTTTAAAAAAAAAAGTTGTTTCGTAAGATTATCAGTCATGAGCTGTAATTAATGACACTTTCTTTTGAGCTGCTGCTGTCTGTGTATCAGCAGATGGGAGAGAGTAGAGGTACAACTCCTGTTTATTCTCTTTCTCCAAAGAAAATGAGCTGCAAACTGTGGCCATTAGCACTGTGAACTGAGTTATTTTTGAAGCAGAATTTCCAAAGGACTTTATCCCTTGGAAGTTTCTCTCTCTCTCTTGGAAGTAACTTTTTATCTCCCTTGGAAGTAACTTTCTCTCCCTTGGAACTTTCTATCCCATTGTCTCCCAGGCTTCCTTATTACAGTCTTACTGGGCAAGTCCTGACTTGTCCTGGGTAAGCGGCCAGCTGCTGCTGAACAGCATATGTAAAAGCTGTTTCTACTTTTCCTTTATGTAAAAGCACAACTTGTGTTTGTTTTTCTCCTGTTCGTTGCCAGTGAGTACGAAAAAAATACTATTTTAACTTAAACCATCTTTGAAAGCACGTAGAAGCTGCTCAATGGATTAAAAAGTTACTGGAAAAAATAAGGGATTGAGTGTAATGACACAGCTGCTTAATTTGTTTAGAAATGTATGTGTTGTTTACTGACATTCAGAAATAATGTGTCAACTTTTGCAGTTTTGTATCTAAAAACTGAACTGTTCTTAGTGGGGTTGAGAAAATTGCCGCATGCCCGTGGTCGGTGGGAAAAAAGGAGGAAGCCTAAAGTAACACTAAAATTGATAATGAGCCTCTCACCTGCCGAAGGGTCGCGTTCACTTTCCTTCGTCGCAAAAAGGTACAATTTCAGCTAAACATGAGTACACATACAAAAAAGTGGCTTACTGGATACATTTTGTGTCTGCAATTGCAATTTGGTGATGGAGAAAATCAAGAATTGCAAAGGACTTCACAAAGATGGTTGCTTTCCCTTCTGGTTAGGTCTGACCTCAAGCCCCACATTACTGCTGAAAAAATTAATTTGGGAACTTTCCATGAGGGCAAACATTTCTGCCACAATCTTTGTTGCTGTCTTAGAATGGTGTTTACAGAAGGAAGGGGAATTGCTCATATAACCAATTGTAAAAACATTCATTAGTAAATATTGATCCAAACCGAGCCCTTGGATATAAACATACCAGAATCTGAGACACTGTTGTGCAAAAATGCTCTCAGGAATCAAGTATGAAGTTTTATGTTTAGCTTATTCAGTGTTACAAAGAGGAATCAATCCTGATTCAGATTTGCAAATATCTTTGTTTTTATCATGGCCTAAAGGTAGACAGGATTGAAAACATCTCCTAGTTCATCTTACAGTCTTAAGGCGTCTTGGTATTGTGAATTTATTTTGGAATAACAATGGACAACTTTTTACATGTCAGTGTTATAACACCATGAGGCATTGTATTTTTTAAATAAGAAGCAGTTAGAATTTCAGGGAGTTACAGCTGCAGTAACACATTTTTCATCTCATAAATCCTTTTCTACCCAGCTAATCTGATTTTGCTGGAGATGTGAGGGTTTTACATCAAGTCTGTAATGTAAGAAGATGCTAGGACCTCCTTTGCCACCAGCTGTGCAACAACCGACTTGCATCCCTGCAGTCAATACTTGCAGGTCTGGCATGCCCCTAGCAGTAGGAACAAACGCTGCTAATTGAGGAAGAAGCAAGAAGGGTTGCTTTCCATGTACCTATCCTCACATCAGAATGACAAGTTTCTCAGAGAACTGAAAAGGAGAGAGGAGAAATGCAAGATGCAGTGTGGCCAGGCAGGGACAGTAACACTAATAAAGTGCTTAGTAAATCTTACACCGTCTGTAACTACACCTGTAAATAGTAATGCTACTGTGGAGTGAGCATTTTGTGAGTTACTACTTGAAGTGTTCAGTACAGATACTTCTGTGTCAGTTTACAAGAATATGTGACAATATAGCATCAACGTTTTGCTTCTGCGAAAAGGAAACTATTTCCTGTGCTGTTGTAAGATGCATCTCTTGATCTAATTTGGGAAGAGTAGGATGCAGTGAGTCTGCTTTTACAAATTTTACCACATACCTGAACAGGCCAGGAATGACACCACTGTGAGAAACCATTTCTTTGATGAGTGCTGAACAGTTGTTGCTAAACATCTTTGACATTCTATCTACTATTAAGCATCTTCATTTAATTCAGTAATAACATGAGAAGTGGGGATCGTTTTTGTTCTGTAAGCCACTTAAGATTATACATTGTAGATTTTCCAATCATGATCCAAACTCTTAAGTTGAACAAAAAAAAAGGAATCATCAATGTCAAAATTTATTTTTTTGGTTGGCTGCAGCATTAGACACCATGCACATCCATGGTAATAGAAGAATCACAGCCTGGTTTGGGTTGGAAGGGACCTTAAGGCTCATCCAGTTCCACCCCCCTGCCACAAGCTAACAGCTATAGTGTTGAAACATTTTTCTGCTGATTCACAGAGCTTGGTGTTTAGAGTCGCCAAAAGTTTTAATTTTCAACTTAATGACCACAGAAAGAAAGTGGAAACAGCTGGCATCTAAAAATGTTACCTGTTCTAGAGATGCTAAGAATCGAAATGATGCACCTGAACTCTGCCAAACAAGGGGCCTACAGGGGTGCCTGCCCACTGCCATGGACATCAGAGACTTAGCAGAGCTTTTCAGCGTTTCTTGACTAACAAAATATGTTTTTTCCTTACAAAGAAGTATTTATTTTTCATGTTTTAAGTTCGTGGTTCTACTATTACTGAAAAAGAACAAAAAAAAGTATAGAAATGGTATACATAAGTTTTGTTTTGTTTTTTAAATTAATAAATAAATATTAGCTTTTTGTGCAGCCTTTAGAACAGAAAGATCATACTATCCCTCTACTGCATGCAGCAACTTCTTAGGCTTTCTGTAAAGATGTTTAGG